GCTCTCTATTTATATACTGTGGCATGCCTTGCCAGTGTTGATGGGGATTTTGTTTTGTTCCTCTGGTAGTTCCTTGATTGATGTTACCTAGCTGGGTAATGAAACATTTGCAAGAAAAGAACCAAGCTCAGAGAAATCCAGGGATTTCACAGTTCAACCCTGAGCTACACATATTCGCCTCTAAGGATACTTCTGTTTTTATCTTTATTTTTTATGGACTGTTGTGAGCCGCCCAGAATCATTACATGAGATAGGCAGCCATATCAGTCCTGTAAAGTAAATAATTAAATAAACAAACACAATATTGGAAGGACAAAAGGAGGACATAACTTGCAGCAAGTCAGCATCTGAATTACCTTTTTTAAAAAACAAAGAAGCAAAAAAGCACTCTGGTGACATTTTTTTGGAGTTGTTACAGGACTAATTCCCAGATTTTCTTTCTTTTTACTTCTCCTAATCCCCCCCCTTTTTTTTTTTGGTAAATGTTACGTCTTATGTTATTTTATTAACTCTATTTTGTGAGGGGGGAAGCTTGGTTAATTGTTTAATGCAATAAAGTATTTTAAAGAAATCTGCAGTAAGTTACTGGCAGCTTAATGAAACATGCAAATAAAAAGGGCAGGTGCCAAGGTAACCAAAGCTTATGTCTCTGAGAGTCATTCCTCCCACTTCTGTATAAAACATAATTTAGCACCTTGTAATTTCCAGCCCCAAAGTTTTTTTATTTTTTAAGAATTTAGGGCTTACCAGCAGGAGTTCCCCATACCCAAATACATGCTCATCCCCAACACTTCCTCCACTTTTCGGCTTGTACATGAACAGGGCCACGCCTGTGACAATCAGCAAGACACACAAGTATTTGGACAGGGGATATTTCTTCCTCAGCACTGTCACCCCCAGGAGCATGACTAGAAAAAGAAAGGAAATGTGGGAAAAAGCATACTCCTAACAGTCCTGCTAAGAAATTTAATTAACTAATGACCACTGCATGTTGTCTTGCATGTTGCAACCATTTACATCATTTCCCACTGGCCATACTTAAGAATCCTGTGGAGCCTTCATTCCTGAACACAAACTTGCTGGGCCATCTCTTCCCAGCTGTTGGAAACAACTCACTCAGGCAAATGTCTGGTGTTTGCAGATCCGCACATGAAGTGATCCCAACCTACTAGCCACACAGTATCAACAGCCATTGTTTTCCTTTTCCCCATTTTTACCTGAACCCCTACTCCCCCACCCCCCAAATATCCATCATGGAAGTCCAACCTCTAGAAGCCAATAAAGTTACATCAAACAATCAGGTTCAGTCAATGTGGGCAACTTATCTCAAAAGTTCCCTGGCACACACAATTTTGAGTATAGGATCAGGGATTGCATACCTGGGATGGGTTTACAGGATTTTCCAAGGACCTATGAAAATAAAAAAAGAAAGATTCACTTGGCTATAACCTTCTATATCTCTGGCATCTGAAGAATGTGACAAACTCTCAGGGAAAAAACAAACAGCCAGCTGCTTGCGGTACAGAAGTTACTCATGCTCTGAGCAGAAGCCACACACCTTTCTTTTATTAGCTGAGTGTTTCTCTTTTCTCTGTAAACCCCATTACATTCTATGTCCATTTTAAACCTTTGGTATTTCTTTTTAAAGCTCTTCACTCCCACAGCTATTTTTTCCCTACACTTTCCTTTCCTCACTATCCCTTTGCCTCCTACTTAGTCTTCTCTTTTATATAAAGAATCACATTTAGGCCACTCTTTTCTCAAACTTCAGCTACTACAGGCAGTGAGTCTCCTGTTGGTCTTGGGGCCGTAGCAAGTGAACAACTTTACCACCATCTGAAGCTGACCCTGCTCCATCTAACAAATATTTTTAAGGTAGATATTACAATATATACACATTTGCTTGATCAACCACTGAGATCCTTTGAAGAGTTGAAAACTATGTTTAAGGCTAGGTTCATACATCACATCAAACCATGGTTTCTTGAACAACATTTAATAATGTTATTTATTAGGGTTCAGCAAAGAGGTGTATAGACTCTTCAACAAAACAATTAATTCACTCTGGGTCAGGATGAGAGTGGAAGAAGGCTCCTCACTTTGTGCTACAGCTATCTGGCCTGAGAGATCCCCTCCATACCTATCAAGGGAACCTCAGGCTGGTTGCCATTCACACTGGAGCCATCTGGCCCAGGAGTCCATCATGAATTCTAAGGGGTCTCACTGCTGGCTTCTCATGAACACCCTGTGGGATATCCCAATTAGCAGTAGAGTTGCTCAGCCTGAGACTCTCAACCAGGGCTGCAAGAGATAGCTAAGAGGAGCTCCAGAGCAAAGCGAAAGAAATCCTTTTATTACTATTAAACTTTTATTCTTGGACTTCTGATGGAGGCATGGTGAACTAAACACATCTCTGACTTAGTGGAGATGACAACTGTGGCAAAGACCGAAGAACTGGCATATAGACCGGTTCTTCGGAACTTCTCCAGTTAAAAAATAACTGTAAGTTTAAGAATTTGAAGAATTTGAAAAAAAATGGCAAAAAGCTAAATAAGATTTTGATCTAAGAAAGTTATAAACAAATTAAGGGTCCAGACAGCTTTGGAACATTAGGACTTTTATTATAAGATTTTGGAAATAATTAAATAAAATAAACAGCATTTCATGTGAACCAGAATGTGTTGTCTATCTTAAATCAAAATAGAAACTTGAACTTTATTTCAGAAATTGGACACTAGAGGGGACTAAAGATTCCAGGTGGAAAAGGAAAAAAAAAGTGTAAACACCTTTGGTTTTTGGTTAATGTGAGAATTTATAAAACGACACAAAATTTATTCATGTAGATTAGTGTGGATTTTTACCTAAAAGACAATTAAAAGATAATGTTATATAGTGTTGGACATTATAGAATATTTGGAACAGCACAATGAAAAACAAGCTGCATTAATTTTTTTGGATGCCAAGAAAGCTTTTGACAATTTAAATTGATCTTTTATGTTTAAAGTTTTGGGAGATATGGATTTTGGACAGAATTTTATAAAAAGAGCGAAATCGATTTATGCATCACAGAAAGTGCAAATTATTGTAAATGGAGACTTAACTAAATCACGTGAGATACAAAAGAGGAGGTTTAGGTCTCCTGAATTTGAAGGTGTACTTTGCAGCTTGTTTTTGGGTTTGGATGAAAGAGTGGGTGACTTTGAGAAATAGGAGGTTATTGGAACTAGAGGGGCAT